CTCTGTCCCTCCATAGGTCGACTGGCATTGAATGTTCCAGCCATGGGCTGCTGATTTGACCGTTTGAGAACCTGCCGCACGTCCCATCAGTCAGAGATTTGACTTTGGGAAGATCTGTACAAAAGATCTTCGTAGAGGCGAGGTGTGACAGGTGAAGCGTTGCAGCGTTGTAGAAGCGGAGTGCGGGCCTTTGCATCCACTGTGTACTTGTGGATGAGTCCGGTTCGTTCGCTGACGCGTTTTCAGTTCGTCCTTAGTGCAATCACCTCGGCATGTACAATCAGTTTAGTTTTTAGGTCAAGCACCTCGTCCGGCACGTGGCTCGGGCCACGGGTGTTACACGTGGCGGGTGAGGTGGCGGGTCTGACACAGGCCCGTAACACAATCCAATTTTTATTTCAATTTAGGCATTTTTTGTCAGTTCTTTTGTTGCATGTTAATTGCAATTAAGGCAGTTTTAGTTAGTATTTTTTGTTGCATGTTGATTGAAACTTAGGAATTTTTAGCTAGTGTGTGTGTGTGTGTGTATATATATATGTTGCTTGTTGATTGAAATTTAGGCGTTTTTAGAATTGTTGATGTGCTGTGATATAAAGTATTCGAGGCTCAGCCTACTAGTGGACGAAGAAAAAATATAGGTATTGTTAATTTTATTAAGAACAAACCGAAACATGGGTATTTTGTTTTAGGGTAATTAGCATATAACGCCCGGAAAACGTCCATACCTTTTTTTAGCATTTTCACCCTTATTTTCGCATTTCATTAGTCAAAAGGTCCTCAATTAAAAATTATGAAATAACGAATGTATCCTTCTCTTTAAATAAACAAAAAAACAAAAAAAATAATTGCAATCACAGTCTCAAAATTTTAAAAAAAGTACAAATAAGTGACAAATAAATTATTAAAAGGTAATTAGCACATAATGTCCATATCTTTCACCGTTATTGTGAAAAAGTGCATACTTTTCATTTTTTGGCATTTTCACCCTTAATTACACATTTAATTGTGCAAACTATCATTTCTATCAATCATATCTTTCACCGTTATTGCGAAAAAGTGCATACTTTTCATTTTTTTGCATT